ACATTATCAATATCTAGGTAACTCAGCATATCCAGGTTTCCCTGGATGTAACTGAAGACCCACCAAACTTATGTATTATTTCCACTCCACAGGAATTTCAGTTGGATGCATTTTACTGGATACTTGCCCTGAAAATTTCACATGGGAGCTTATCCTCACAACTAAAATTAAGCAGCTTTTTTGAGTTTTTTTAAGTATTACTATTTAGCCTTATTTACAGAAGAGATTTAAGGAACTTTAGAACACAAGGAAAAAGGTTAAGTAGATAAAAACTGTAATCTAGAAAAATATAGTTGGATCAAAAATAACAAGTCAGAATACAAATATACAGATGATTGAGTTCTACCTAATTATTAAAAGTAGGCCTGATTTTAATCTGAGATTTCTCACAACTAAAGCAAACACTGGAAACAGTCAGTGATTTGCATTGTTCATAAGAAACATGCAAATTGATTTCTCAGGTTGAAGTAAAGCTCTTCCTGAAACAGGTCTGAATAAAATTTCTCATTTAGATTCTGAGAGATGTAATGTTTCCTCCATATCCTCAGAAAAAGGCAACAGGAGATCTCATTCAATGGTTTACTGACTTTTAAAAATTAGAACAGGAAAATGATAATCTCACATTACATGGCTTAAGGTCTAACTTTTGAAAATTCAAGCTAGGGTGATGAAATGGTAGCTGGCAAAAGTTACTGGTTAACACCCAACATTATCAGCTGCAAGTATCAAGGTGAGATCCTAATATCTTCAATGTGGACTCACAGTGGGCACTCAGGCCAAGCCTGAATTTTCTAGGAAGGAAAAGAAAGTGGCAAGCCCTCCCTCTTCTGTTGCTTCTGTATTTTTACTGTTGAAGTAATGGCATTATATTTACAGAGCTCTCCTCTAGTATGAGAGTTCCACATCTTAGTCTTTGAAACCAACCCCCAGACCAGTGCCTAAGACACAAATAAACTCAATAAATGTTCGTTGAATTGAATACCAACATAAAATCAAGATCAGGAAAATACTGAGAGTGGCAATAAAACAGCTACTATAGCCTACAACTTTCACTGAAGGAGGGGAGAGAAATCACCACGGAAAAGCAATTCAGAACATGAAACATGTCCCAGAGAACTGAAAGCTTTCAGAGCTCTACTTGATTTTTCTAGTATGTATGGACCTGGTCTTATCATGACATTTCATATGCTCCAGAACTGGCCCATTCTGCAAAGGCAGGAATACCTGCACTGGCTAAATACAAAGCTGTATTAAAAAGTGTAACATTTAGATTATCCAGGCTAGCAGGGTTGTGCATTCAAGACAGTAAAGTGTTCATGTAATTCAAGGTAAATCTTCTCTATGACGCTTCTAAAAGTGAACTGGTTTTGAAGAAAATAATTTTATAGCTATTACACATATTGCTGCTCTAGTAAACACAACTGGAACGACTGCGTCATTATGAAGATGATTTATCATGCTTTAAAATTTCTTCCAAGAGACTTCCCAAGACAAGTTCTTCTATTTGTCCTTTTTCTCCCTTCCTAGTGATTCTCCTCTGCCACCATCAACTGCATTCCCATGTCTCATTTTCTAATTTCTCCTACTATTATTGCTTTTTCTCTTTCTGCCTCCCTTATTTTTTCCCATTTCTGCACTTTCTTTCCTTTGTTATTAGGGGACCTTCTTTTTCATCACCCTCAATAGCCAGGGAATGTTTTATCCTTCTGCTTTCACAAAATGATCAGTCACATTGTGTATTCTGTAACCTTCGCTGTCTCCTGATTCTGCTATTTTGTCACTGATGACTTTTCTACACACTTCAGTTTTTCTACATTTCACTTGTTCCAGACACCTGAAGGTGCCTGTGGTTAAGGGGGGAGCCAGTGCTAAGTCAAAGTATTACTCTGTGATTATTCTTCACACACACGTTCACTGTTTTCACTTAATTTTCAAAGTACAGTACAGAAGTTTCTATTCATGGCCCAGTTCCTACTTCAAGTCTTTAAAAGATTTAAGGAAAGAGATAAGTGGCAGACCAAAGAAACAGGTAAAATAAGAGTGTTAGTGAAAACTAAAAATTCTGGACCACTCAGCATAAATGCATATACTATGAATAAACTACAATGTTGTCAGGCGATGAGGACTTTTGTCTAAAAAAAAGGTAATATGTCAACTTAGAAAAGCTGAGGTCTTCTCTTTTTAAATGTTTTCACTTTGTCTATAATCACTATAATTTTAGGAAAGCATTTAATAAAAATAAAACCTTTAAGTTATTAAGTCAACTATTTCTGTGTAATATAAAAGGTTTTAAGAATATGTATTCTTGTATGCCTCAAATTATATCTTCACTCTTACTTATATCAAAATAAGCTAATAAACTCTGAAAAACATCCAAATGCTCTTTTTGTGTAGAATTTGGCTAAAAGAATCCACTATTAAAACCACAAGGTAAGCTGATGAAACAGAGCTAAATATATACCTTAAGCCCAGGCTCTGAATCTTTTTGCATACTTGAACATTAGAGATAACTATTTATAGAACTGGGGTCTGTCTCCTGGTTTCGAAGTGTATCTGAGGTAGGGTGAAACAAAGGCGGATAAACCTAACTATAATTAACGAAAGAAAAACAAAATGTCAAAGCAGCCAACTCAACTCATTTCTCTTGTCTCATAATGCGTATCATCAAACTCTTTAACTATAGAAAGGTAGCTCATCTGGGATCAAAGCAAACATCTGCCGTAAAAATTCAGTTTAACCTGTAGAACACAATTCCTTTCAGTCATGCAAGAAGGCATGGAAATAATTTTTGTTACCAAAAAAAAAAAAAAAAACCCAAAAAGCATTATGTTTCTGTAAATGGGATTTTACCTATAAAGATAGTAAAGGCTCACCTTTACTGAGCATTGGGTATGTATCAGGTAATTATTAAGAACTGTATACGGACTGACATTTAATCCAACAACACTATGAGCTAGACATGATTATTATTATCCCTGTATACCAGAGGGGAAATGACCTGGAGTGACTCACTCAAGCTAACTTAGGTTCTCCAAGAGATTAAAATGCCAGACGCCAGTTAGCATCTTCATTTCCACGCTGCAGTGTCTCCTTACTATTTACAAAGATGACTGTGCTCCGTTCAGGTAAAATCCCGTCTGCTGTCTGATTATTCTCTCTTGCAGTCCATTTAAAATACATCTAGAAAGTATTTAATCATCATCAGAAGACCCAGTATCCCCAAAGAGTAGTTCTAGTTTAAATATTATAATATTTTCCCTATTATAGTTAATACTTGCAATTTTTACTACATCTAAAAAATGAATATATATGCATATATATAAAACATTTGAAACATGTGAAAAAGAATAAAATTTAAAAATTTCATGTTTTAAAAGAACATACCAGTTATTTGGGGTTCCACTGGAAGTATCTTAAAAACAAAATTCTTTCACTTAACAACACTAAAGAATGAGGTATATAAATGTTTTAATCACAGACTTTTACTGTATGCAATTAACTGTATTTCACAACTTGCATCTTACAAAAAGACAGTACCATAGTGCCTGTAAAAAGTACTGCAATTAAACAAAAAATTACATTACCACATGAAACCACCAAATATCACAACTGTCAGAGTCTACACTTTCCTTTCTTCAAATGTTATCATGATGTTTTTATGTGATATTTTGTATCCACATTATGATTTAAAGTTCATTTATAGTTCAAAAGTCTCCTACAGGTAAATATGTATTAAACAAATGGCTAAGAGAAAGCGGGAGACCCTAGAATTTAAGTACTGTGTGGTTTCTAAGTTGGATTTTTAAAGACAACATAAAACAGTTTTATTAGTTGTAAACAAAAATGCAAAATCTGTAGTCATAAAAATATTTTATTGGTAAATTTACATAATAGTAAGTGGGGCTGTAAATATTTTTTTTAATTTTAGGATATTGATAAATGCATAAACTGGCAAGTGTCTCTGAAAATAGGGTACTATAATTTTTATAAGAATTGTTATATTTAATAAAGAGGCCAATTAAGCTGATTAAATATTAGTTATTTCCTAGTTCTGTGCAACAGTTCCCATTTGTGTATTAATTAGATTCATACTCCTATGACCCTGGATAAGTCTGGGGCAAGGAAACAGTGATAAAACTATTATTAAGTTAAAGCTTTTCCAAAATTCAGCTCTTAAAATTACAGCTTTCTTTTCTCTTCTGTTTTCGTCAAATGCTTATAATTACTTGAATTTTACTGTTCTATACAATACAGAAAATACCAGTGTTCAATGACAATAGCACTAAACCTGAATTATAAAGCTACGTAATGTTTTATTGTTTACTAGTCTGCTAGTAAACATTACAATAAATGAATGTTTTGAAAGATAAGCAAACCCCCCCAAAACAGATAAAACCTAAAACATAATTCAGAAACAATAATTTAGTAAAATGTGTCAAAAACATTGGCAATGGTTCATACAAATTCTTTATTTAATAACAATCTTCCTATTTAACCACACCAAGTACCAGCAGGTGTACTTAAGAGGATAACCATTAAGAAAATTCTGTTGCAGCAATAGTTGATTAAGTTGATCTTTGACTTGTATACATATAACTATTTGTTTCACAATTCTCAAATAATACATATTTAGGCAACTTGCACTATGTTATAAAAATTTAAATTCTTACATGCCAATAGTAGAGAATTCAAGAATTATGTGTTAGAATTCACTAAACTAAAAGTGAAAATAGACTTACCAATAACACTGCATAATGAATAACTCAACCACATTTTCATGGCATCTTTAACTGTGGAGACCAAAACATTAAGTCTGGAAATGTTTGGTAGGCACAGATTGCAATTAAAATCTAACGAATTCTAACAAATTTCTATTTTAATTAAAACACAAATCATAGATTGTGCGTGAATATGTTTGTCATGAAAATGTGGTACTTCTTGGCATAATCCGTGTATTTGCATGGTATGACAGAAGTGACGGGAACTGGAGAAAATAAACTTTAATGAGACTCTCCATTCAGTGACGAGGCCTCTCCTCTGGGTGAAGATGACCTGGACACTCCCCTCTCTGTGTTATCAGAGCTGGAGCCACTCTGACTGTGTTGATCGGCAGAGGCAGCACTAGATGCAGGCGGTGACTTCGTTTTCTCCTTAAAGTCTGTAATAATGACTGTCAGATCTCCAACGGTAACTTCCAAATGCTGAGCACTACTCCGATCCACATTTTTCAATCTTGGCCTAAACACAAAAGATGATAAAAAAATTTTAACTAGCTTTTCTATCTACCAAGTGTCTGAGCATGGCATGCATATTAAGTTAAAGTAAAAATGACAGAATAAGTACATCTATCTTTAAAGCTCTATTTTCATGTGCACTCAGGATAAGGGCATCGAGACTGTCTGCCCTGCCAGGACCCATGGCCATTCTGACTGGTTAAAATTCATGCAAATATCTGTTCAGTACTCTGAATGTCACTCCTGGCTTTATGAGTGAAAAAGAAATAGTTTAAACACAGATGTCTTTTAATCTAGTAAAACAAAAAGCAGAAACTGTCCTCACACTTAAGCCTGTATTTGTGGCCTCCGTATTTAATTTCTAATATAGCTTCAACTTGAAAAAATACTTTCATGACATAGTAAAACAGATGAAATCTTTCATTTCTGTATTATATATTTCATATTCTACTTTCTACATCAGTGTTAAAAGACAATGTTAAATGGTTAATTTTATTATTTCGAAAGTGCCATTAAAACACTCTTCAAATTTACCTGGTTTTCTTATGACTGTTCTTTTTGCTAGTTGTTTCCTTTTCACTTTTTTCTTTTTCTACTTTGTCTTTTTTCTCTTTCTTTGACTGTGTAGGGGGTACAAACTGCTGAGTAACCTGCTGCGCAACCAACTGGGAGACAGGTCGAGGCTTCCTGTGTGCATGTTAAAAACAAAGGGTTTTTATTACTATAATTTAACAACACGATTTTTCATGAGAATACCTCAAATTATGAGAATAGATATATACTGTGATATTCACATTAAAAAATTTCTCATATGTAAGGTAATTCAGATGTGCAATTTAACAGATAAATGTATGTATACACACACATATACATTATTATCTTTCCTAGTCAACAAAAATAGAACTATAATAACAGTTCAAAGTTATTGCCCAAGATATATAGTCAAACTATTAAAATGTAACTGTCACATAAATCAACATGAAAATTATTAAAATTGTATATCAAACTGTGCTCATGGGGAAGCAAACATATAAACAAACATGAGATTTTTAAATTAAACTTGAAAGTTTACACTGAAATAAAATCTAAATGTATCCCTCCTCTCTCAGAGAGCCACCATCTGTGAGAGTGGCTATTCTTTTCTTTAAAAATCATTCATTTATTCATTCAGTAAATTTTCTCCTTATTGTTAAAGTCTTTAAGGTTCCTCACCTACCTAGCCACAATTTCACTGTGCTTTTTTGACCTTGAAGATCTTCCCAGTCTTTTGAGACTTGCCTAGCTTACTTATTAAAAAAAGAAGAAGAAAAAATGTATTGAGAACCTACTGCAAAACTGTACCGAGAGAGATGAAATGTTTCCTGTCTACAGCCTTTGGTACCAGTTGTCACTCTATTAGCCCAGGGTCAAGGATCCCTCCAACTTTATGGTACAGTGTGGGTGGCCGAGGTCAAGATTCAAAGTTAATAGTCTCTTAAAATGAGAAAGACTACTAAAGAGGGGAAAAAAGATGGGAGGGAAAAAACAGGGAAAAATAAGATAAAAATAAATCATAACAGATGGTCTACAAACAACAGTAATCTATTGCCTGGAAAATCCTGACCCTATTTTGGTCAGTAGAGCTGTTTAAAAACATCTTTTTTTCCCTCTGTTCTTCTAAAACAAGACAAATAGAAACCAAAGAGAAAATACTGCACAATCTAGCTTTCAAAGCTGCAAGGAGGAATCCTTTGAAGGAAGAAACAGGAAATGCAGTATATAAAACATCTTAATAGATGGATATTGAATTTTGTTTAGAACCTACAGAGTCTGAAGTACAGATAGGATATCCAGGAAAGATGTCCAGAATACAATATAAAAATAGGGCTGACCCAGATACCAGAGTTAATGATGCATATTAAGAGTTACATAGATGAAAATATTATTGGCTGAGCTTGTTCAGGAAATAAACTTTAAAAGAAAAAAGACTAAAGCAGTGGTTCTCAAATTTAAGGTACATCAGGATTACTAGAAAGTCTTATTTAGCTTGCTTAGCTCTGCTCCCAGGGTTCTGATTCAGTAGGTCTTAGATGGAGCCTAAAATCTGAATTTTTAATAGCTTCCCAGTTAAGCAGAAGCCTCTGGTCTAGCCACCACATTTTGCAAAGAAGCTTGAAGGAGTATAATATATTAACATTACTGCAGCAATGAGTTTAAGATGGAGATCAGGGAGTGGCAGAGAAATGAAAGAAAGATATGAAGGAACCTGATAATGCAAAGCTAAGGAGTCTGATTTACTCTTTAAAGATGGGAGATCACTGAAGAAATTCAGACTTGAATTTTACAAAAATTACTGGCAGCAATCTGGAAGAAAAAGGTACTACAGAGGCAGGGAAAGCTACTTTAATAGATCAGGCAAAAATAAAAAGGGCTTGAACTAAAATGAAGCAGACATGGGGTTATTTAAAGACAGAATGAAGAAGCAGAAATCAAGGTGACATGGTGACTAATTAAATGTGCCTTTCTCACTTCTCAACCAATACAGTCCCTTAGCAAAACGTACAGAAACTCTTGCTTATTCTCATGTAACCAGTATTCTGTAGATGAAATTAAACAAGAGATAAAGTCATAGATGTGGATAAATGCTATGGAAGAAAAAAAAAAAAGTAAGGAACACAGGGAGTTTTAAGGAAGGAGTTGCAATTTTAATTTTACCGTCTCTTTCCTCATCTAGAGTATAAACTCCACGAAGAAAGAGGTGGTATCAGTTTTATACACCACTGGATAACTAGTACCTAGCATAGTACTGGAAAATACTAGATACCTAATATTTGTTGAAAAATGAATGAATGATAAAATCAGGTTTAACGAGGAAAGGTTTTGCATTTATTAAAACATTTTAATTGGAAGACAACCGCTTCACCATGTTGCGCTGGTTTCCGTCCCAGGATGTGAATCAGCCGTTTAAGTACAGGTACGTCCCCGCCCCCGGAGCCTCCCTCCCACCCTTCACCCACAAAGATGTGTTTAAAGGAAAGGAACACTGTCTCATGCTTACTCAGAGGATCAACCACTCACTACACAGAAGCCAGCAAGCAGTCAAAGGCAAGAGCAGCAGGAATTAATTCCTCTTTTAATTATTCTAGGGTATGTAAAGAGAAAGAAAGTTCAAAGGTGTGGCAGGTTGTGGAAAGATTTGGTTAGACTAGTGCCTGGTGAACCAGTGAGTCACCTAAAACTGCGAGTCACTCCAAGCTATATAATGCAACTGAGGTGTAGTCATCCTTTGTCTCGCAAGGCATTATGGGTCTCTGAATCTCTTCCTGCCATAACCAATGGGAGTTTGACAACTTCCTTTATCAGTTTGTACTCTTACTCCCTTAAACCTAAAATTGAATACAAAATAAATTTATAAAAATTTTAAACTGAATTACAATAAATTGCGAAACTAAAAAAAAAATCACATTCTAGAGTAGAAACCCTGATGTTTCCACCAATCAATAAATTGACATGAGTTATTTAGAGGCCATTCTCACTAACTTCAGATATATAATCATGTATATTCTCTTTATTTAGTGCTGTTTTTAAGCAAAACAACATTTTTCTAGGTTTTTCTGGATTCATTATTAACCTCAACACAGTATTTCCCTTAAGATGTAACTGTCTCAATCATGGATTCTTTGATCATGAACGTTTTAGGAATGTAACTGCAGTGTTGTGGTTAGGTACTGAATATCTTTACAATGCTATCAATCCCTCCCCTTCCCCATCAGTGTCTGTCTCCAAGTTGGTACATGTTGCTTATGAGACACAGTTCCTCAATTACTCCCACTTTTACATAAGAAAGAAAACTAATTCCCAACTTCATGAACCTTACAATAAAACTGCTACCAAGTCTTTTTCATAGTTAACAAGTTCTCTCTCCAGAATCTTTCTAGAACCATTTCCCCTTTTTATATGGCCCATAAATCTGAAAATGAAAGCATATCAGTCAATAGAGCATGATTTTCTCCATAAAACCATGAGGTTGAGTTAAATAAATATTTTAAAACTAGTTATGAATATAGATTTCTTCTAAGTGTCATATTCTCAGAGGTAAGAACAAAAGTAATAAATGTATATTCTTCTACAAGGTAAAAACAACACAGAAAGAAAGACTAGCTGGCCTGGTCAGGTGAAAGACTGGCATCGGGAGACAAGTTAGAAGACCATCACATCAAACTAGAAATGATGGTGCTGGTCATGTTGGGTTTGTGGATTTTATAAAATTTAAGAAAAGGTGTCCCTGGAGCAAGTGGAAATATGAGACTAGTGATCGCATAAGCAACCAATAATTTCTGTATTTGGCACTGTCTGTTGTTAATTTTTTGTTAGTTTTTAAGCACCAACAAATTTTCTATAGTTGCTCTCTTCTGCCTCAAAAAATATTATTTTTGTTTTTCAGTAGTTACATTTCTTTCTCTTTTAATCCTAAGTTTTCCTAAATGTTTATTAATTCATTCTTTTATTCTTATTTTAATTAGATGGTTGACTTTTACTTAAAAATTACATCTTTGCTCCTCTTTTGTAGGATTATTTGATCTGGTACAACTATGGATGAAAAGAAGCACAAAACATGTGTATACATGTAGCTTAACTATTGAACAAGCTTTCTGCTGCTCTCTAATGGCTGAATGAGTTTCAAAGATCCTTCAATGAAGGCAGGAGGAACACACTTCTGACAATCTTTTCAGCCTATCATAAACTGACTCACCTTCACCATGCTCTATTCAAAAGAAAGCTCTCCTATCTCTAGGGGTCTTAAGTTTAACTGTGATCCCTTTTCTACTAAGTGAGAAAAATCTAGAGGAGAGCAGGGGATTTTAGAGGTAGGAGATAGGATATAAGGGGGACGGTATTTATAGTATGTTTTTTTTATGTTCAGCAATTTATCATTCATGATTTTTGACAATACACCTACAACCCTGAAGGTTCTGTGACCAGGACAAAAAGGTCACCCAGTTAGAAAAATAAGTGCCATCCAGACATATCTCAACTGTACTCTATTATTCACATATGTCACGATTTGATGTAACTTGTAACATTCGGCATTCCAAAATTTGGGGATCTCCATGTGTCCCTATGTATCCATCATAAAAAGGTCAAAGAGACGGTGTAAAGTTTGACAAGTCTCTTTTGCTTTCCTGTAACATAAAAAAAGAGGAGGGAACATTTCAACAAACATTTATGGATATCTCCTATTCATCAGAACAAAGTACACTTAGGAGCTGCTTGACTTTTCATGTGGGTAGGAGACTGGTTATTGGTGACTTGATATATACCGTGTCTAACTATGTGTCTGCCCTCCACCCCAAACACCCTGCAAAAAAAATTCTATGTGCTGACTATTATGAAATAAACATTTTAAGCTTGATTAATCTCATCACAAATTAGCTTTGTCGAGCTGGATAAGCAACAAATAAATAAGATATAAAGCAATTATTCATTCTTTTCTAAAGGAGGCAACATTACTCAGCTGAGAAAGACAATCTGTTGCAAAACACTAATATATATATATATTGTAAATTGAAGCAATATAATAAATTTAAGTGAGTTAAAAGACTAAACAAAAATCTAAACCTGTTGCAAGTCTGTTGATACACTGCTAACAAAAGTCCAAAAATACAACCAAGGAAGATTTTATAAACAAGCCCCACTGTTTGACAAAT